TATAGTTTGAAAGTTTTCTCTCCATCTAGATTGTCCACATAGACAAAAAAAATTTTAAATTTTTAAACATAATTCATTTAATACACACTAAATCATATTTATTTGTTTTTATAACTAATAAAAAAAATTAAAACAAAAACGTGAAACATTAAGTAAATGAATGAAAATAAAAATTAAAAAATTTAAGACTAGAAAAATAGATATATATATATATCACACATATTAAAAAATTAAAAATGTGTTTATGATTTGTAGTTAAAAAATTAGTAAAAATCAGCTCATGTAATCATATTTCTAAAATGTTAGAAGAAAATAAAATATTCTCTATATTTTTATAAGATCTATATATTTCATGAAATATGAACGGTCTATTTCTTATTAAAAAATTTGTACTTAAAAAAAATGTTACATTCAATTAACTTCATTTTGTTTAACCACACATTTAACTTAAAATATTATTTTAATTCTTTTATTTTTCCAACTACTAGAAAGACCAACGTTTAAAATATAATATCATAAAATCTCAAATATTTCAGTTCGATGAACAAAAATAAAAATATATATAAATTCACAAGACGAAGATAAATGACCAAAAAAAAAGGTCATCATACTATAAAGATAGATTAGAAAATGATTGTTCATGAAAAACATTAGTTGAACATGAAAAATCATATAATGTAAGCAAAACATTAGTTGATCATGAAAAATCATATAAGCAAATTATGGTTCATTTTTGTTGAGTGACAAAGGATATAGATCATGTATTTTTTTCTACTTTAATTTTAACAGTTTTTTCTAATTGAAAAAATTGGAATAATTTGTTTTCCATGCAAAACATAACTAAAATATAAGCAGAACACAATAAATTTACGCAAACAAAAATACAAAGGCTTAAAGTTTTGATCATTTTTATAAAGCTTAACAAAAAACATAAAGCTTAATTAAGATATAATGAGATATTTACACTTAAATATATTGAAATAAATAACATTTGTATATGTTTTTATCATTTTACACATAAAAATATCAAAATTAATGGCATTAACATATGCTTGATAATAAGTATTTAATTTTTTTGATATTTATGTATAATACATATCTTTTTTGTACGTTTGTAGATATTGAAAATCATATGATTTGTCATACACGTTTAAATATAAAAACAATATATGTTAAAATAAATGAGTCAATCTAATTATTTATTCCGCGCTTGGGTCCAGGTCAAAATCTATTAAACGTAACCATTGCGTTACAATTTGAAAAATAATTTCATTTTTATCTCACTGTTGAACATTGGGCTAACTAAATTCCGTGTGAACCAGGCATCGAGGGACTTCACTTCATAGTGAAAGGCATAACTTTCTGGAACTACGGCAGGCCCAGACACCCAGCTAAGGGCCAGGCCGTGGCACTCCGGTCATCCTCGGACCTCTCAATCTTCTATAGATGCACCATGGAAGGATACCAAGACACACTGATGGTCCACTCACAACGCCAATTTTACCGTGAGTGTTACATCTACGGAACCGTTGATTTCATCTTCGGAAATGCAGCGGTCGTTTTACAAAACTGTCTCATCCTCCCTCGCCAGCCACTCAAATATCAAGATAATGTAATAACCGCACAAGGTCGTGCGGATCCTTTTCAAAACACAGGGATCTCTATCCACAACTCAATGATCCTACCAGCTCATGATCTAAAACCGGTGGTCGGTAGCGTTACGACGTACATTGGCCGGCCTTGGATGAAGTACTTGCGCACAATGGTTCATAAGACGTATTTGGATAGTGTTGTGAGTCCAGTTGGGTGGTCTCCGCGGAATCAAGGTTCCACGTACGGTCTTGACACTCTGTTCTATGCAGAGTATAAGAATATCTGTTAGAAAGGGTTTCANGTGTTAAATAAAGCTTCCGATGCATCTGCTTTCACTGTTGGAACATTCATCACCGGTACATCGTGGCTCCCACACACTGGCATACCCTTTAGTTCCGGACTTTAACTAAAGGCCGTCTATGGTTTTTCGTGCCTAAAATTTTACACTCTTGAATACAATTCATTAGAAAATGACTTTTTGGCTATAAATGGACATGAGAATCCACTACAAGACACTGTCGAAACAAGATTGAAAACAGAATTTCTGATATTGCGAAACAAGTCCTATTTCACTGTCGTTTGAATACGCGACGTCGCGAATGGAACATGGCTCCCAAATGTAGCTAACACTATGTGTACTCCTTTATAATTCTTCTGATCATTTCGAGGTCATCTCATGTTCTCATCAGTCCAAATATATCGGGTTTGGCTTCTTAATTCTTATACCGAACGAACCGAATGGTTTCATCAATAACTTTAAGGAAAAAATGTTTTAGTGATTTAGTTGAATACAAATTTTGTTTGCAGTTTTTGAGTTTTACATACGATATTTTTAGTTTGCCCATTATACATTTTTACCTCTCATTGATACAC